CACACGCTCACACAAACATACATACACACACATGCCAACACAACTCCATTATCCCCTAACACATTGCTCTGTATATCACAAAGAACATAGAATAGTTTTTACTTCTGATTTTGAAATCTCAGCTATGAATCTCTTAGGCCAATGTTTTTAAATCAATATATAATCTTAAATTTAACTTCTTTGCATTACCAAGATATTTCTTCTCAACAATCCTATGAAAGAGGTAGTATGAGTACTGTGTCAACTCACTTTGTTCAAGTATTTCCTGAGAATACCCAGTTCTTTCTTTACCTACATGGCAACTGAAACAACTCTTTGAGTCATGTTGTATTCTATGTATGTATGAAAATTTAGCATTGGGCTACAGTGAAGCATAGAAGACAGAAGCAATATGGTTCTTTATTTGTGTTTTCCAATTTTTTGTACACTTTGAAAATTATGCTTAATGCGTCTGAAATAGTCAGTTTATAAACTTTATGAAAATATAAGTTGACTTCACTTTATGAATTACATATATTTCTTGAAGTGTATGTGTAATCTGAAAGTGGCATTTTAAAGTTCACTGTAGTGAAAACTTTTATAAGGTGATATGAGCCTGCCCCCAATTGCTGGTTTTTGAGTTAGGATTTTTGTATATGGGACATTTTTTTTCTTTCTTTTCTTTTTTAATGGGGCATACTTGTGTAATATATTATGGTCTTTAATGTGTATGTATTTTGCATTCCTGTCTACAATACTTAAAAGGAGATATATATATATACACACACACACACACACACACACACACACACACATATACATATTTACCATTTTTTTAGTTTCACTTACTAGGAAGTTTTGCTTTTATAAAAAAAATAATCAGATGGTTTGTAATTAAGGGAAAAGCTTCTCACCTTTTTAAAATACAGCTGGATTCTCACAGCTGCCAGTCTGTCTATTCAGAAGCCATGGAACAAGCTGCTATTTTACAACAGCTTTCTAAATGAAACAAACAGTGCCACACAAGCAACTGGCACATCGGTGGAAATAGAAAAATCTGTTTTCAGATTTTATTTTCAGAAATCATTTTAATGAAAAAAAGGAATTTTCAAAGTCTTCCATATTAGTAAAACTAAAGGCATCAAGAAACATCCCCAGGATATTCACCCACATGTGCACACTTACACAAACACATGACTCTAACCATGATAATTAATCTTATTTAATCTGTACAAGATGCTAAAGGTAAAAGGAATACCATTAACCAAAGAAATCCAGGCACCATTTTTCATTTTAATTAATTTATTTATGTCTGAAAAGGGCAATTTTTAAAGCTTCCCTTTATTTCTGAATAAGAGACACTAAAATGGCTATATATTCTCTACCTTTGGTAGAAATGTTTTTTTCCGGTAACCTTTTTGTTTTAACCTCTCATGGTATGATTATGATATTAGCAGAGATAGGGTTTTTTAAATGTTACTTTTAGCAAAGCCTTATGCCAGTATAAATGATTTTCATAAAATAATCCTAGCTGGATGGTCATTGTTATTTTCTAACTACAGCAACAACAACAATGATGATGTTAGCATTTATATAATATTTTAATGTTTGTAGAGTGCTTTATAATTCTTATCTCTTTTTATCCTCAAAACAACCCTAGGAAATTGGTGCTATTATTATCTCCATTTTACAAAAGAGGAGACTGATTCAAGTTAAGTGACTTTACTAGTGTTAAACATCAAGGAAGTATCTGAAGCAACATTTGAACTTGGGTCTTCCAGATTCCAGGTCCCATGCTCCATCCACATCTCTCCACTCAAAAACACATGTGTGTACATATATGTACATGATATGGTATATAGCTCTAGGGCCTGGATCTATGATTTCCTTCTTCTTCTTTTTCTTCTCCTCCTCCTCCTTCTTCATCTTTGTCTTCTTTTTCATCGTCTTCTTCTTCTTTGTCTTCATCTTCTTCTTCTTTGTCTTCTTCTTGACTTGCCCAGGGTCACACAGCTAGTAAGTGTCAAGTGTCTGAGGCCAGATTTCAACTCAGGTCCTGCTTACTCCAAAGGTGGTGCTCTATCCATTGTGCCACCTACCTGCCACCCAATTTCATTCTTGTAGGTGAGTAAAGTGCTCTCTCTACTAAGACCATTTGGCACCTTCTCATACTTTGTGTGCATTCTGTATATACCTATGAATGGGTATGTTTTCTTCCTTATTAGAATAGAACCTCCATATTCTCAGTGCCTGGTACTCATTGGCACTTAATAAATGCTTTTTGATTCACTGGTTTCCTTGAATATGAATCTGAAACCTCCACTGTTTGCCAAGCACCGGATCTGGTCTTCACACTGCCTAGTGGCTATTTCCCACAAAAACCTCAAACTGACCATGCTCAGAACCGAGGTCATCCTTTATCCCTAAAATTTGTTCTTCCTGATTTCCCAGTGATTATTAACAGCACTATCAGCATTTCTGATCACAGAATAATAGTTCATATGTTGTAACACTTTAAAGTTTGCAGAAGATTGCGAAAGACTTTTCTTACAACAAACCTTTGAACAGTTAGCATAGTTTAAATGTTATTACCATTTTATTGATCAGGGAACTGAGCCTCTGATAAGTTATTATTCACACACAACTAATAAGTGGTAGAGACAGCACCCAAACCTCAGCTTCCATATTCTTAGCCTGTTGCCCTTTTTTTTCTTCTGTTTTGTTATTTATTTTAAACATTCTTTTCTTTTAAAATTTTTAGTTCCAAGTTCTCTCCTTCTTTTTCCATACTCCTTCCCACTGCCATTGAGAAGGCAATCAATATTTTATCAATTATACATGTGAAATCATGTAAAATATTTCTATATTAACCATATTTTTGTTAAAAAGCAAGAAAAGTAAAGAAAGTAAAGAAAAAAATGAGCTTCAGTTTGTACCTAGAGTTTATCAGTTTTCTTTCTCTGAAGGTGGATAGCATTTTCCAATCATGAGTCCTTTGAAATCAGAATAGCCATATCTAGCACAGTTTGTCATCATTACAACATTGCTATTACTATACACAGTGATTTCCCCCTTCTTTTTACTGCACTTTGCATCAGTTCACATAGGTCTTACCATATGTTTCTGAAACTACCCCCACCTATCATTTTTTTTATAGCACAATCGTATTCCATCACAATCACGTGCAACAACTTGGTTGCCCATTCCCTAATTGATAGGCATCCTCTCAATTTCCAATTCTTTGCCACCACAAAAAGAGCTGTTATAAATATTTTTGTAAAACTGGTCCTTTTCCTTTTCCTTTGATCTCTTTGGGATACAAACTGGTGGTAGTATTGCTAGGTCAAAGGGTATGCACAGTTGTGGGCATAGTTCCTAATCATTTTCCATAATGGTTGGACCAGTTCAGTATTCCACCAGCAGTTCATTAGTGTACCCATTCTTTCTCATCCTCTCCAGCATTTGTCATTTCTGATGGGAGTAAGGTGGTACCTCAAAGTTGTTTTTTTTCTTTATCCAATCGGTAGTGATTTAGAGCATTTTTCCCATATAACTTTAGATAGCTTTGATTTCTTCTTTTGAAAACTGCCTGTTTGTATCCTTTGACCATTTATCAACTGGAGAAGAGTTCTTAATTTTTGTAAATTGGATTCGTTTCTATACACAGTATGTATTTGATAAATTAGGCTTTTATCAGAGAAACTTGTACAAAAGAAGTTTTTAATATTACTTCATTGTCTGTGGTACCTTTTGGCATAATGTAGTTTCCCCGATTATCTCTTTTAATTAGGTCTATTTTTGTTTTTGCTTTGTCTGAGATGTTAATTGCCACTCATGCCCTTCTTTTTGTTGTTGTTCAGCCGAAGCATATTAGATTCTACTCCAGACCTTTATTTTAACTCTGTGTGTGTCTTTCTGTTTCAAGTGTGTCCCTTGTAAACAAAATATTGTTGGATTCTGGTTTCTAATAGATCCTGCTCTCTGCTTCTGTTTTATGGGAGCACTCATCCCATTCTCCGCTTCCCTTTGTTTGTAACACAACAATGTAACTAAGAACTGGAAAGGGCAAACGTAAGAACCATTGCTAATGAAGTAATAAAAGATAGCACTAAGTTTTGTGCCAGTCAGCTTTAACTAAAATACGTGGGAAAATGTTAGAACAAATCATCATTTTGCTGACACTGGGAAGAACATAAAGTTTTATGGAAAAGCAAATAATATTCAGGCCAATTTCATTTTGTTTTCTATTAGAAGTCTTGTTAATGAGGGAAAAGAAATATATATAATATCTCTGAACTTGATTAAAGCTTTTGAATCAGTCCTACTTGATTATTTCATTAATAAGCTGTTTTTGTGCCAAATTGAATGATGTGGACAGCAAATGCTATGGGGGCTTAGGGAATATCATTGTGGACTAGAGTGGTTGAGTAATGCTTCCTGCAAAAAAGAATCATTTTGATATGCCTTGGAAGATAAGGATGGCTTCAGGTAGGAGATCTGAGTGGAAATCATAACATAATTAAAATGGTCACAGTAGAATTAAATATGGTGTGTCTGTGGGACATTGAAGAAGAAAGAAAGGATATTCAGGGGGCTTAACGAAATTCTTCTTCCAAGAAGCAATTTGATCCTGGCAGTTTTTTGTTGGAGCTTCAGATATAATGAAATGTTGATTGAGTTAGATGTGCTATTCTTTTGTCCCTATCTACAGTGCACTGAGCTGTAAAAGAGTTTTCCCTCTTCTGGGGCAGCCGTTAGGTTCACCTCCAGATTCAGGATTTGAGTCTGCCTTGAGCCATCTTAGATGACTTTCTGTTAAGTCTCGCTTATCTTCTAGTCCACGAGATTTCTAAGCAAGAAAGTTGGTTGAAGTTTGTCCTTGGTACATTATCAGGTGTCAAGAATCATAAAGAAGTCTCATTTAAAAGGAAAAGTTCATCTGCAACTCAAGATTTATATTTTATATGTGAAAGTTTTATGATATGTCAATTTATACTTTTTTACACTCATTTTCCTTCTAGGTTTTATGACAGGCACACAAAGGAACCCTCAGATGTCTCAGTATGGGCCTCAACAAACTGGACCATCTATGTCACCTCATCCTTCCCCTGGAGGACAGATACATCCTGGAATCAGTAGCTTTCAACAGAGTAACTCGAGTGGGGCTTATGGTCCTCAGATGAGCCAATATGGACCACAAGGTAAAAAAAAAAAAAATTAAGTAGTATGTATATGTGTTGTGTGTGTGTGTATATATGTAAACACATATACGTACATGTTATGTATACGTGTCGACACATATATACATGCATATCGTCCCCCCAAATTATTGATATAAAACTCAGTAATCTTAATAATCTTATTAGAAACATCATATTTTGTTAAAACACTTATTTTTGTGTTAAATTTGGAGGAATGTAAGATTGTTCATTGGTCCAAAATTAAGTGTTAAGAGAGAGCAGAAATTATTTTGGATTGATCCTCATAAAACTTCTGTTTCGCATTTATACTTTGTATCATAGATTCAGAACAGGAGGGTACCTCAGATTCCATCTCATTCAGTCCTCTCATTTTACAGATGGAAAAACTATGGCCCAGGGATGTTAAGTGATTTGCTCAAGGTTACATAGCTAGTAAGTGTATAAATATGAAATTGTTCTTGGTGTATAAAAGACACAGGTCCAGCTCCCAAATCGTTTATAATTTAAACTTTAATTTTATTGTTCGGGTCTAAGTTACTTTTTCCTCCTACCAGTACTTATACATTCTTTTTTCCTTGTTATCCAAGAAAAGCCCCACCCCATATTCCTTTTTAATCTTCTGTTAGATGTTTTCATGAGTTTCTGACCTTCATAGAAAAATGAGAAATTCATAGATTCTTTCATGCCTTTCAGGGGAGAAACTGAAGGATGTTGTAGGAAAATACAAATTCTTCTGTGCTTGAGAGATATCTCAGAGGCAGATGGGTCATAGGTTTAGAGGTTGACAAGATATTAGAGACTGTCCAGTGCAGTGTTCTCATTCTAGAAATGAGAAGGTATGATAGCATATACCAATTATCCCTGTTACTAGGTGATGCTAAGACTTGTCTACTGCTTGAATTTAGTAGTTCTCAAATGCAACAGTGGTAAAGGTCATTGGGTGTCCATACTAAGTCTGGGACCAACATGGGACACCTCCTATTATCAGAGGGTCCCCAGGCTATCCAGGGACGGGTAAATTAGCCTCGGACTGAGAAAATGTAGCCAGACACAATTTTCATTCAGTATTGGCATCAGACCTGTGAATTTTTACTGCACTTCCAGCCTGAGTGACATAGGGAGACCTTTGTCTGAAAGAAAGAGAGGTTCACTAGAACCAGGACTGAATCAATAGCTGAGCATCATTCATAATAGCTACTAAGTGACCAAGAGAGGGCTGGAAGTGAGGTTCTCTGATTCCACTGTACCATATTCCCAGAGCTTACACACATGCATTTTAAAATCAGGTCAGTGAGGTTTGGGAGAATTTGTGTTTTTAAAGTTATTTTATAGATTCTTGAGGTCATTAGCTATGATGTATTTGTTTACATCAGACATTGAAAGGTAATTTGCAGAGGGATGACTGGACTCATTTTCCATAGTTAACTAAAGTCTCCAGAAAATACTCGATAATATCAAATGAAGATGATCAGGACGGGATAGGGAATTCTTAGACAATCTATGATCTTCATAACAAGGTTGTCTGTTTATGTTGAAGACATGTCATGTCCACCACTATTTCATGGACATTTTAAAGTAGACATTTATTGAGTCATTTCAATGACTGTGATATAAAGGACAGACTTAAAGGCAAGGAACCTGGGTTTGATTGTTCACTTTCCTACCAGTGTGACCTCAGGTAATTTATTTGATTTTTTTGAGTTTCACTTGCCTCATCTGCAAAATGAGTAGAGAGAGCATGAGATGATTCCTAAGGTCATTTATCACCCTAAATCCTGTTCAACACTAATTTTGAGTTCTACAAATCTAACCGTTTTGTCTTACTTACTGGAGTCTATCCATAAAGTTAGGCATAGTGGTCTGGATACTTGTATATTTCCTCTTTTTTTTTTATATGTTCCTATCTGACCATAAGAACAAGGAACAATCCTGTAGAAAGATACTATAGTCACATTAAAATTTTAAATAACATATTAGAAAACCAATGATTTTCATTTCTTGAGTTTCAAAGTTCTTCCCTATCTTTGTTAAGAAAATTATGTATTGAATTCCATTTCATGAGTCATGGAAAGCTGCCTGGGAAAACAAAACTTCCTGGTGGGACAAATGGATGAAAGTATTATTTTGAAAGGACTATTCAATGCCAATAGATTTTAATGTATTTTTCTGCTATCATGGAGATAAGCTGAGAGTTAGAACTCTCAATTGATTATCAACAGACTCACTGACATTTTTGCTCCAGAGCTTTTCACCCCATCTAACCAAAAGGATTCTCTCTCCTCCGAAAACCCATAGCACATCCTTTGTACCTGTCTTGCAAAACAGAGTATCACCTACCTTGCGTTATGACTCTTACTCTACATGTTTTATCTCACCTACTAGATTGTAAACTTCTTCAGAGCAGGGCAATGGGTCTGTTTCATCTTTGTGTTTCCCATAATATGCCTTGAGTGTGGTAGGTTTTATGTTGGCTGAATGACTGAAATTATTAAACTTGGCTATTCCTTACTTAACATTTTTTACAGGTCATTGATTCCCTCTCCTCCGTTTGGACTATAAATTCTCACATTTTTATGTATTATGAAGTAGTCTGTAGAGTTTATAACAGTATAGAAGATGATATTACTCCAAAGATCATTTCTTTTCACAGATTTTTTTTTAAAGGTGTGTGCCCTATTTTTATCCGTTTAATCGACTCCTACTCATATTGGACTAGGTTATTTGTATTCTGTCCATCAGGTGCTCTACCACAGTTCTTTCCTAGGAAAGCATTAGCGCTCTCTGTGTCAATCAGATCGAGACCCTTTGTGTGAAGATGTGGAATTACCTTGTGCTGTGACTGACTAGGGGTTTATCCATTTATTGTCATGCATTCTTTTGGAAACGCTGTTGCTTATACAACATCTCCAAAAAGTGATCATCCAGTGTTTGTTTCAGCACCACAAATGACAAGAAACTGACTGCCTTATAGGGTGTCCTGTTCTATTTATCTTTTTCTCACCACAAGCACCCTTCCTTCTCCTTAGCTCTTTTCTCTAGGCTAAATATTTCGTTCAACCGACTTTTATAGGACATGGTTTAAAGTTTCTTTAACATCTTGGTTCCTCATCTCTAGGTCCACTCCAGTAAACTATGTCTCTCTGTAAGATATGGTACCCAAAACTGGATCAGGTACATCAGTGATCTTGTTTGTAATTAGACTGTCTTGTCCCTCACCTAGATACCTTAATTCTATTATTACAGTCTCAGATAATTTATGATTAGGTCATGCTATTGACATATTGACTCTAAAGTCTGCAAAAGCCTTCAACCCCTTTTCACATGAGCTGCTGTCTAGTCATTTTTCCTCCATCTTGTACTTGTGTAATTGGGTTGTTTTTTTTTTTTAACTTAAGTACAAGACCTGTTTATATCTTTTTTTTTTGTCCCAGTTCTTTCAACCATTCTGTTATCCATCCCTTCCAGCTTTGTGTTACTCACAAATATTAAAAGGATGCTAACTCTGCCTTTATCCAAATCATTTACAAAAATGTTGAACAGCATATTGGGCACTTTTTACCCTGCAACTTAACAAATTTAGGCTATTAAGGTAACAATCAGTGCTTAAGAACAGTAATTTAATTAACGTTGCTGTAGATCAAAACATGTGCAGAAGTGCCCCAATCTGCTTTTCCCAAACAGTAGGACTTAGTCCCTTTTCTTTAGTCAGCTTTCATTTTTAATAGTAGAATCTGTTTCGGAGGTCTAAAGTATTCCAACTGATTTCACTCCAAAAGAATAATAGGTCTCTTGCATGATACCAGTAACTCATTTTGAATAACTTCCTGAAGATGATGGAACTATAAAATTCATGATTTTGGAATGCTAAAATGGGTATTTAGTCATTTTTAAGAGTCATAAATGTTACTAAGTACATTTATTAACCATTAAGTTATTAACCACTTATGTAGCATATTAATAAATGAAAACCCCTATTATGTACTTACTGTGTACTAAGCCCTGGGGATACAAATACTGAAGTGAGAGTGCCTGCAATCAAGGGGCTCACACTGTAATTGTCAAAGGGACAACATAGAAAAGAAAGTTCAGTTTCTGGGCAAGTGGAAAGATCTGGATATTCTAAGAGTCTAGTTGTAGGGGTGGATGGCAAGGTCTACAGGTGTTCAGGTTACATTAGTAGAACAGTAATCTAGGGAGTATAGAGGCAGGGCAGATGGTAAGGACCATTGATTGGGCCAGTGGTCCTTCATCTCCCTGAAGGGATTAGGGTTGGGGATTCCCCATTCCATCCATAGTATGTGAGCAGTCAAGCAACTTTGCATGAGTTTTGTAGCATATCAGAGGAACAAGGGAGCCTCCATGGTAATGATCTTCCCACTTCTTGGCTGTCCACTTAAATGGGTTCTTAAGGTCTAGCTTTAATCCACTAAAATATTTGTCTTACCAAGTAGTTAATTATTTGATTGTCCTATTCTTCGTGGTATATATAATAATAGAACCTCAGAAGTTACCTCATCAGACTCCAACCTAAAGAGAAACTTCATCTGCAGCATCTAAAACAAGTGATCTTAAAAAAAAAAACAAAAACAAAAAAAAAAACTCCTATGTGCCAGGCATTGTGCTAAGTGCTGAGGATACAAATAAGAAAAAAGAGACAGTGCCTGCCCTCAGGAAGCTTATAGTCTATGGGAAAAGACAATACAGAAAAGGAAACTGAAAAGGAAGAGAGAATGGTCTTCCGTATAGAATCCCAAATTCCTTCCACTTAACCTAAAATGGCTCCATTTCAAGTGCTGTCACCAGCTAGTTTGGATGTCGTCCAGCTTTTCCTGAAAAATGAATCACTCCAAACTAAACATAACCCACCAGATGTGGTCTGGCAGGAAAGGGAGTATATTGGAACAATAACTTCCCTTTCCTTAATATTCTTTTTCTAGTAGGGATCTCAAGATTGTGTTAGCTTTTTTGGCTCCTTTGTCACACTGTTGACTCACGTTAAG